CAGTCCCCCCCTTCCTTCTCAGACACCCCCCTGTTCGCGCAAGCGCGGACATTGGCCGTTTACGCGGACACAAAAGTGTCCCCCTCACTTTTCAGAATGGATCGACGCCCCTGGTCAGAACCAGTCCATAATCCAAGTAAACCGAGAAAGGCAATCCAACTCTCAAATTAGCTAACATTTACAGCTTAAACTGCAAAACTATGCGATGAATGGACTCTTACAATTATTGTATTGAAAACAACCAGATTGCCTGACAACTCATAATCATAATTTTCATGAGTGGGCTTATCGATAACAAGGGTAGTTATTCCAATGTTTTGATTTGTAGTCTAAGTGTATTCCATCACATTCCCCATTCATTGCCTGGGATACGACTGATATATTGAGATTCACTCGTATGGGATGACGTGACATCTATGGAATTTTTTTGAAATTACATGTATATATGTTGCTTGCGATGGTTGTCAGTGGCGGCGGCATGGGAGGGGAGGGGCAGAGGGGCTCGCCCACCTGAAAAAAATCATGCTGAAACCTTTTGTATCAGCAAAATCTTCCCCTCAAAATGCATGGAATAGCGTTTCAGAGGGTATAGATATCAGATCTCGCCGCCTCTGATTGTGTAATATCTTCATGACGTCACTATTTGTCTATTCATCTGATAGCCTGGTCGATATGTACACGTGTCAGATCCTAGCATGTTGGCAACTGTGATGGCGTCTTACTATGACTATTTTTATAATGATCACAACTCAGAAGACCCGGTGTTCTCAGCGCCATTCAGGTCTGCTCCTGGTACTGGTTAGTATCAGTGTTTTCATAAGTATTTTTACAATTCTCAATTTAAAATTTGTAATTATGTCATGCGAACTCATAATACACTCAGCAAGTTGTTTATTTCTTTCACTTTAGATTTGCTAACGACTGCCACCCTACCAGTAATATACAACGAGGAACTGAAAGGCGTGGTCGGTGTTGACCTCTCACTATCTGATATCACTGCTGACTTGACCTACATGAGACATGGACAACTCAGCTACCCATTCCTGTTTAATGCTGGAAGTAGCAATACTGAAGGTATCACGTGACAATACGTGACAATATCCTCATTACTCGTTGCACTACTTACTATTTCTTTTGAAACCATTAATTTCAATTTCGGAAATAATTCGCTGTTTGTGAACTCTTTTGATTGTTCTCCTACCAAACTTATACACTTATTATGATGATAGTTGTCCATCGTAGTCGTCGATGGTAGGTTTCGCCGTGCCCGACTTCTCATATGATTGTTGATGCAATTGTAGAACAGATTCGGCTGTACATGCTTGACAACATTTGCAGTTATTACACCATATTGCCAGAGACTTACTATAATCGCATTAACCGTTTTCTCAGAAATTATGTCAAAAGCATTGAATAGTGGTAATAGCTGTGTTATATGACACTTAATATGAATTGCTTTTCAGGACGTACACTAATACATCCATTACTTCCTCCTCCGGCTGTTGATGAAACTAGTAGTGTGTTCGTACACATTACGTCATTGGAAAGAGAAGATGCATTCAGAAATGATGTATACCAAAAAGCTATTAACGAGTAAGTTAATTAATTAACTAATTTAATGATTAATAAATTAAATTTAAGTGACATTTGAACCTATTCTTTTATTTCTGGTAAACGTTTTTTATTCATTAAAATTTGATCTGATGACTTCGATGTCTTTGTTCAAAGAAATTCATAAGTCAGAAACATTCACAGTCTAAAATGTTAAGTTATATCAAACGAATCATCCTCAAGTAGCAGAAGAGATTGGGTTTCGACTGAATTACAATACTCTTTTTAAATTGACTTTGAACTATAATAGCTTTTTAATTACTCATCGTGTTATTTACATTATTATTTACATATATATTTATAATGGAAATAATTCTCAAACAATTGATATTATTTATTGGTATTATTTTTTTGTTTCCAATTTCCCCGCACTGGGAAATCTCAAATTGGAATGTCTGACGTTTATATTATGTAAAAAAAATTCAAACTTTTAAAAATAATTTTAAAAGAAGTCATACAGCATATGAGAACAATAATACGTAAATAATGTAAACGTAAGCCCGGCAATGGGCATGACCGCATTGCCGATTCTCGAATTAATTTGTGCGATGTGCGATTATTTTAACCGTTGTAAAATAAAAATACATTTTACGGTGGCACTACGTTTACGTTGCTTCCCGTCACATTGTTATTAATCACAACTGTCACGAACACGTGACACCCGCCATAAATTATTTTGAGTGGCAAATGACATTAGTGCCATCTAAGTTAGTTATTATATTTAAATTTAGTGGCATTGATGCCATCTAAGTTAGTTAGTATTTTTAGATTTAGTGACATTGGTGCCATCTAAGTTAGTTAGTATTTTTAGATTTAGTGACATTGATGCTATCTAAGTTAGTTAATATTTTTAGATTTAGTGACATTGATGTCATCTAAGTTAGTTAGTATTTTTAGGTTTAGTGACATTGATGCCATCTAAGTTAGTTAGTATTTTTAGGTTTAGTTCTGTTTTTCACAAAACCAATCAACCAAACTCTTGGAATTCGGTGAATGTATTGCTGAGAATTCTACTCTATATTACAACTACATTGTAATTGTTGGAATAAAGGTTTTTCTAGTCTAAAATAAATTATTGCATCTGGCGATGCACTATCATTTCGTAGCAAAGTAATCACCGTCGATACTTACTTATGCAATTATTTTAACAAAGGAACGTGGAGAGTGGTAACGTGACATACTTAGCAAAGCGGTATTTACCACGTGGAGACTCTACACACGATGGCGTAAACACAATAGAAGTGGAAAGCACCGTACACTGGACAAAGGTATTTCATATAAAAAGCTAACACGAGTTGTAAATTAGGTCTGTGCTAAATCTGGAATATTCTATGTTTCAAATACTTCAGTATACATTGGAATACTGTATGATTTTCGCCATAAACAATGACATGCTAGGTAATTATGGTCATACACATTGACATGCTAGTTAATTGTGGTCATACACATTGACATGCTAGTTAATTCTAGTCATACACATCAGCATGCTAGTCAATTATGGTCATATACATTGACATGCTAGTTAATTATGGTCAACACATTGACCTGCTAGTTAATTATGGTCATACACATTGACATGCTAGTTAATTGTAGTCATACACATTGACATGCTAGTTAATTATCGTCATACACATTGACATGCTAGTTAATTGTAGTCATACACATTGACATGCTAGTTAATTATGGTCATACACATTGACATGCTAGTTAATTGTGGTCATATACATTAACGTGCTAGTTAATTGTAGTCATACACATTGACATGCTAGTTAATTATGGTCATGCACATTGACATGCTAGTTAATTGTAGTCATACACATTGACATGCTAGTTAATTATGGTCATATACATTGACATGCTAGTTAATTGTGGTCATACACATTACATGTTAGTTAATTGTGGTCATATACATTGACATGCTAGTTAATTATGGTCATACACATTGACATGCTAGTTAATTGTAGTCATACACATTGCCATGCTAGTTAATTGTGGTCATACACATTGACATGCTAGTTAATTGTAGTCGTTCACATTGACATGCTAGTTAATTGTAGTCATACACATTGACATGCTAGTTAATTGTAGTCATACACATTGGCATGCTAGTTAATTATGGTCATAAACATTGACATGTTAGATATATTAGTATCGTGTATTTATTGAAAAAATTGTATGACGTCACATCACATGGATTCTCATTTACAGGCCCAACCATCACCGTTCATAATTGGTTTATCTATTGCAACAAATGACTCGCACACATATCTCAAACCAAAGCTTCCTTCAGGTAAGTGTATAGGGTTTTGCATATAATTCTTTTGTTTGTCGCATTTACAACTATAGATGGTTATTTATTACATGTCCATGGGCAATATAATTCTATAGTTGGGCTTTTTATCATTGTTTTTACTTGATGCGCTCTGTTAATTCAAAAGACAAATGTACACAGAACCGCGACAAGAAGAAAAACTGCTTTCGTATTGTGCAATATGGTCGTAATAAACAAACTGTCTATTGCGCACTTGTTTGCAGAAGCAAGAAATTTCAAATCATAAAAACCTTTTAACAGCAAATTTGCGCAATATGGCGACAAGAAAAAAGTCACCAAGATTTATTTGTAAACTTTGTTGTCCAACATAGTATGAATTTATTTTTGTTTCGAGATGCTAAGTGTAAGAGGTTATAGGTCATGTTATTACATAACACTCCTAAGCTTATTGTTTGGTAAGATTCGATATGAATTGGCAGACATTTTCAAGTTGGTGGCTAATTTCAGAGAGGACGACACATATATAAATTCTGACGTTTACAGTCTTAAGTACATATTAGTATAGTCTTTGATGGTTTTCAATTGAGGATTTCCTAATGTAAATGATACAATAATTTTAGACACACCGACTTACTTTCAGTTTAAAGCCAAGAATGTTATATTTATTGAACCAATTTCTCTCTTTGGTTGAATTCCTATTGAATGATCAAAACAATGATCTGGGTATGCCGTCACGTAATAGTTGCAATTGACAGCATCTAAATATTACATCTAATAGACACACTGGTTTTGTCTTTTTATTATCAAATACATCGAAGCTGTAACTATAATGCCTAGTAGTTTCTGCAGTTATTACCTCTGTTCTGCTATTTTGCATCAAATGTATTATAATTGAAATAATCATAAAAAGTCCAATACATTGACTCTCAATTGGTAGCCTTACTAAACCAATAACATTAACAATCTGCATTGGAGATAATAGAACAACGACAAATTAAATTTGTTTTGTACTAATAGGAATAATATTGGTATAGTTTTCTCTCAAATAAAATGGATGTTTTATAGATATAAACCTTTTTCATCACTGTCGTGCTTCCTGTGTATTTTTAATACAATTCTATTGACTAGATACTGCAATCATATTTAAATCACCATATTAGTATACACATTGCTGTTGACATATTTAGGTTCATTAGTTCCCTTCAGAATTTCAGATAATGATATTAATTTCTGTAAATGAAATACTAGACAGAAGAGTCGTGGCATACGTAAGGCAGAGGGCGACAAGGCCTAAATATCCGTAAGGAAATCTGTAGTTGGGTTTCATCACATTCTAATGGTTCATGTAAATGAATGCCTGGATTTTTATTACTGGCCATGGTATACTAGTATGTG